AGTGCATGGAGCATGCCCTAACAAGCCTACATCCATGTGCCCATTACGTTGTTGGGCAAGATGCTAAGTTATTTTGGAATCCCCTCTCAAGAATGCCAGCAGCTACACAAGACTTCCTCCTGCTGCGGAACAGAGTAGAGCTTGCAGTTTCCCATACAAAGTAAATATTTGCAAATATATTCCCCATCATGGACAAGGTTGATTCTATAGGTTGATTCTATAAGATCTATCCTATATATCGGCATGATACAAACTATACATGAAATACACACCCATTCCCTGTAAATGTAAGACTGTAAGAATATCTCTTTCTCCAGTATCTCTTACTATTAAAAAAACATACATTATATAATTTTTAACATGTAAACCAGAAAGAACAAAGGAACTATTAAACTTTCAGAAATGACTGGGACTTTTCAGTTCCTTCACCTTTAAGGTGCTCAGTTGAGAACTCTTGAGGGCTCCAGTTTTCACAAAGATCCATAAGACAAAAATAGGGAATGTGGCTTTAAGTTCCTGCAGCAGGAAGAGTTCGGTCATCTCAGGGAGAGAAGGGAATGGAAATAGAGCCTTCCTCTGGAAGAAGTGAATTATTGCAATATAAATAGTCACCCCTATTGTTTTGAGGCCAAGGAAACTGGTTGCCTTTCCTTGATACAGCCCTAACTGGAGAGAGAACAAAATAACGTGCTGAAGTCACTGAGCTGGCTGGGATTTCTGCTCACAGGACTTTGCAAGGTGAGGCATTTTCCTGGTCAGCAGGCTGTATCTTGAGGATCCCTGAAGTTCAGCTCTACCCCTCTGTTGTAAAGGATCCATAGCTACAAACATACACTGTGGGTCCAATTACAGAAGTCCAATACCTGCAATTAAGGTAGTGAGGAGCTAAGGGTTGGTTGGTTTTGTTGGGTTTTTTTGCCTCAAGTCCAGGAGCTGTTTCTTGGCATAAAAATAATATCCCTGTGTTTTGTGAGATGCTGAGTAATTACTGTGGAGAGGTGCTGCTTTGTTCAATTCTTGACACAAGTGCCTGTTAAGACCCAGCTCTACTGGAATTAATCATGGCAAAGTGCTTGAGAACTGCAGAGACCCCACGTCGAGTCTGTAACTGCACGTTGCTCAGGAAGCCATTTCCCACTGCCATGGAAACTACTCAGCGATGAAACAAATGCTTTCTTCATGCTGGTGAATTTGCTGACATGATCAGGCTAAAGAGCAAGTTACCCAGTGGCTATCCAAATAGATAGGTTTTCAATTTAGTCTCTATGGAGCTTGCAAAACACCAATTCTGCTTTTCTCAGTGCAGCTTATGCTTAGGCTTTAGTGGGGTCATTTAACTTATATCTCAGTTATCTGAAGAAGTTATTCATTCTAGAGCAGGTTTGAGGTGGATACCTATCACCTGGCTAATCTTACTGAGGTATTGCTGGCATTACTATAGTAAATTTTATTTTAAAACTAACTTTCTGTCAATAAAAGTGACAGAAACCCAAGTTTTCTTTATTTAACATTTAATCCAAAGGCTGCTGTGTGGCTGTCTAGTGAGCTAGTAGCTTCCCTGTCCCAATCTGCATGAGCTGCTAGCTTTCCAGGCAAGAGATCAGTCCATCCCAGTCGGTGAAATTCTTGGCTTCTGCAGAGTTGGGAGCACTGGGCCCTAGGAATGTGAAGGCAACTTGCGAGCACCTGGAGGTATAGACTGAGCTTGCAGATGTCTCCCCAGGGTGTGGGGAGAATGTGAGTAATGGCACAAAACCAGCACTTGTGTCTATCGTTACAGTGAGTACCAATTATATGCATTTGCAGAGTAGCTAAGAGAACAAATTAAGCACTTGTTTTTGAGTGCACAGACAAGAGAACATGCAGTCCCTTCCTTTCTAGAGTGATTTTAACAATTGTTGCTTATCTAAGCACCTACAGGGTCTAAACAAAACGCTAACTTAGAAATGTTCTTCTCAACATCTGGATTCTTTTTCTGCTCCTTTATTTTGAATTACTGGGTCAGTCACCTAAGAGTTTACAGGGTTTTATTTTCCTGGGTCTTTTACCAATGCTGTGGTAAAAACCTGAAGTGCAAGCCATACCAGGAAATATACAATCATGCCAAGAAATCAGCCCCCACTGTACCAGATTACATTAATCTCCCTGCAAAATGCTGAGTAGGAGAGTTTGGGGGTGTATTTCTTCTGAGGTGACATATTAATGAAGATCTTAAGTTACCTGTTGACAACCAAACTGAATTATCACGCTGACATTTTTACACAGCATACAAAAAAGCACTACTTTTCCATGAAACAAAAGTGCAAAGCCCTGCACATGCAGGAATCGCTCACCTAAGAGTGGGAGATGTGATATGTTTATGCCTGCATATTTGTTTATTAACTGAAGACCAGGGGCTTTGGAGCTCTGGCAGGATAACTGACTATTAAAGTTTGTACTTCCTAGACTCTGGAGAGCTGTTGGGTGATCTGTCAGAGAATTGTCTGATACACCTAAACTTTCCACTGAGTACTACATGAATCCTGTTTCTGAAGAACCCCAGTCCCCTTGGCAGTTCTTCCTCAGCGTGCCTGGCAGGTCACTCTAACCCATTGCAGAGCGCTGACTTCTGGAGGTTTGCACTGCCAGCATGGCGGTGAAGGAAGGAATCCAAAGCACACCCAGACCCCAAACTTCACCCCAACCTGAGCTTCTTTGGCACAACTACCAAAGCAAACTTGCTGTGGGAGTAGAACACTGGCACCGCCCTTCAATACGGTCTATGTGCTTCAGTTTCCTGTAGTGCAGAGAAGCAGAGGGATCCTGTATTTTGCAGTCCTCTAAGGATCTTAAAGGGCTCTCAGTGTAGTCATGCTGCTTTTCTCTAAAATCAATTGCTTTTATAATGGCACTTGGCTATGCATAAAAAGCCAAGCTCAGTCCCAAGAGTTCTCAATTTGCCAGGCAAATATCAAAGTTTTAATGGAAAGTAGAATTTGCCTTTAGCTACCCTACTGGCTTCATTAGCAATCAGAATTCAATATTTATGAAGATCTATCAATATTCTTGAAATATCATGCTGACATTTTCTCTGGAAACACACTTTTTGCCCCTGCAGACAGCTATTTCAAAATCGATATGCCCCTGGAAGATAAACGGCTTTTTGTAGTGCTCCACAATTATCAAATAAGAAATATTTTGCATAATGTTGGACATTCACAGAACTAGATTGTTTTCTTGGAAGAAAACTTTATCTGAGACTATTTCCTTTGATTCTGACCCCAGACTCCATCCAGCAGCAATGATGTCATCTAGCAGGATAAATACTGGTAGAAGGCTCCAGCAGAACAGAACCTGCCATGGTCCTCAGCAAGTCCAAATATCCATGTGTTATCAGAGAAGGAGCACAGGCACTCGGGGAGAGCTAGGCACTTAGGGATTACAGCCTTAGTAACACTGTCCCAGGGCTGACAGGGGAGAGAGGAACAGCGGAGGCTCCACACAGCGCCGCCCTCTCAGGTGTTGCCCCTAGAGCTCCTTGTCTTGCAGCGCTTCTCTGCCAATTATTGCTACTGAAACACAGGGGCTAACACTAATGAGAGCAGTCGCAGGTGTTTCTGGCATCCTGGCCAGACACTTAAAGACTTCTCTGCAGAGCCCAGTTTCAAATGTAACCTGCTTTCCAGTAGCGCAAGCTCACTGCCTGTTGCTTCCTCCCTACATCACAGCCAAGTAAGGAAGGTGTGATTTAAAGCTCCTGTTTCCAATTAGGTTAATCTTTTCCCAAAATCTCAAATTATTTCATTTATTTTTGTATTGCAAAAAAGGTGCTTTGAGTCCTAAATGATTTGAAGCACAGCTCCAAATTCTAAATCAGCAGTCAAAGGAAATGTCATTGCCTGGCACGTTGTTGCAAATGGACTGGAGGTATCTATGATCAACTGCTGCAACATCCTGTTTTCAGACTTTATTTTACAGCACAGAGCCTGAATTACTCTGAGCTCTTTTGCACAGTTTTAACGGCACTTTGTCAGAGCACACTCTGTAAGAGTCCTCTCACAGAAGAAATGTCACTGACTTGGTGAAACATTACAAAGATAATTCCAAAGTGCACACATCCAGGAACACTGCAATCCTTGTCAGACTTAGCAAGGACATTCACAGCAAAAAAAGCCAAGTACCTATGTGAAGTACCTGAACTGGAGGGCCGATTACATCAGCCTCAAAACAAAGATGAGATAGGCTGCAAAAAGAACCAGTGCAGCCCAGGGACCAATCTAACACCCCCAAAATTCAGTGACAGCCTCCCTGTGGATTGCAGCGGAAGGAGAAGCAAATTCTTACCCATAAAGATTTGCTTAACATTTTAAAATTAGAGAGCATTAACTAGTAGGCCAGAAGTCCATACTGATGGCTACTGAGGCACCCAACTCATTAAGTGGCAATGAATGTTGTCACTTTCTATCACTTATCAGCTATGCGACTGATTTAATTATTTAATGAGGGTCCAACATTCATTTGCTATCAGATTCTAAGATTCCTGCTTGGTGAGGTGTCAAAGCAAAATTTAGAATCAGAATAAATCCAAATCACTCCACGAACTCAACAGGAACAAGAACACCAGACAGGCTCTAGGCTTCCTTTAATATTCATGTCCTAAAGTAGTAAAGTTGTCACACAAAAATTAGCCAAATGAATGCATAACTTCAGACAGCTATGAGTTAAAGAAAGACCTCTTCCTCTTTGAGTACTTTCAGGATTTAAAGATAATTACAAATTCCTTTTTAAGTATCACTTCATTCTTTGAATACAATCACATTTTAAAGGCCAGATGTCTGCCCCTCTGCACATATGTAGGTAACTAGGGCCTAGGTAACTGCTTAGCACCTGTAAAATGTTTCTTTTTAACTGGATGTTTGGAAAATGCTTACCAGCCTTCCCGTAAATATTGGGTTTAATGAGTTATTTTGGTTTAATTCTTGCACAAACCAAAAATACAAATAGAAAAACAGCAATCTATCATGAAGATTTTAGAAGGTAGGAACTGCATTCTACATTTATCAAAAATTTTTGTAATAAGCAAACAGTATCCTCCCCATCAGAGTTAGGAAGCCTTGTGCTCCCTCAGTGCTTTTTTTTCTTTTTTTTGAGGGTAACATCTCCATGCATTTCCCCATTTCTTTGTACAAACACTCTTCCTATATAATATATTCTACTGTGCCATTTATCAGTGCTAAACAGGCAATGAGAAAGGAGACAAAAGACTCAGGGCACTGCCCCAATGTCTACCTTGTCTAACTGTCAGAGAACAGATCACTGACCATCACATAACACGAGTCACACAACAGATTAGTCACCAGACCCACCACTACCGCTTAGGCTTTCCTGGTTTTTCTTGGGGTCACTCTGCTTCCATGCTACAAATTAGAAGAGCAGCCTGGGTGGCATCATACAGGTGGTCAAAGAGAATCATCCTTCTTCCCAGAGGAATTCCTCTCTCCAGTATTAGCACAAATAATCACCAATGTCGACAAAAAAACCCAGATGCTACTGTGAGAACTGACATGGTCATTTCTTTCCATCTGAAACCTCCTGAAAGGCCCGGTTTGACTAGAAATCTTGGTCAGCAAAGCTTGAAAACAGTGGAAATCTGTTGAAAAGGAGGATAGGGAAGGTTTTGCCAAGGCACGTATTATTCACGGATCCCGATCACATTGTGCCAAAGTTTCCATCCCTACTGCCCCCGAACTTACAGTGAGCTGGAAGGGCTCCAACCAGAAACAAAGCCCCTTACGGGAATTGTGTCTGAGGAATCTGGGGGGCTCGCTGAGCACATTTGCTTCATTGCATTTTCAGGTAATTAACTTATCTGCTTGCAGTTCTCACTTTCAGGTTCAGTGCACGTAGCAATTTTGGCTTCCATACTTCTTCTTATCATTTACTGTCTTGTCACAGACAGTCACAGAGGGAGAAACGTGAGTGGAAAGCATGTCTTCATAACAGGTTGTGACACCGGACTTGGAAACTCACTGGCTAAATGGCTTGAAAAAGGGGATTTCATTGGGGATGTCATTGCTGCATGTGCTACAAACAAAGGAGGCCAAGAGCTACGGTCCTGCTCCTCACTCTCACTGAAGACAGCAAACCTGAACTTAGCTGACTCCAACGGCATTGCCAGGGCTGTGGTGTTTGTGACCAAAGAGATGGCTGGCAGTGGTAAGTGGCAAGGTAATTTCCCAGAAAAATTATTCAATATAACCAAATCTGGTCTAGCTATAATTTCTGGTGCCTCACCACTCTCCGCAGAGGCATTTTTCATCTTACTGATGAAATGCTTTCACTCTTCAGTTCTGATATTTCATAGTTCAAAGAGATTCTCTCCCGCAATGCTTTTGGGCTTCCTTTCACTTTCACCAACAGGGTGCCTAAATCTGGTTGCTCAGTCTATTTAAACCAGACCATTCCCAGGTGTGTTTTTCAGATTCTTTTTGGAATTGTTGAAGAATCTCAGGGGGAGAAAGCTGCTAAGTGGTACCAGAAAGAACTTTCTTGACAATAAAACCAGCCCACGGCTGGTGCGGTGCTTCTGTAGCCCTCCTCTAGTAAGCAGAAGAGTGTTTTTGCATGGCTGAATAAGTCTGACTTTTGCAATGCACACAACAACAATTGCACTGACAGTAATTGTCAGTGAAACACTTGCATTTCGGCCTCTTTTCTTAGAGTTGTTACACAGGTAGCTCTCACTACTGCTATCATACACCTCTGAGCACTTGTCTAAAAGAGTTTGTCCTTGGATACCATGAAGTGGAGTTAAACAAGACTTAAGTGTTGGTTTTGGCAAAGGGTGATAAAAAGATCTGTGTGGTAAATATATTCAATCATGGCAATACATGTTTTCTTTCTCAGCACTGATAGCTCAGACTAGACATTGTTAAGGGCCGCCAAAGGGGATCACAGAACTACAACCACTAGCAGTAACACACAGTTATACCAAATATTCAGTAGCTCATTAATTACTTAAGTGGCTAAAACAGCAAAACATGTATCTTCTACCGGTAGGACTTTCTCCTCAAAGGCTGTAAAACACTGTTGGCCTCACCATGACAGCTCCAGACCTTTCTTGAATGCAGTGACTGAGGGCAAGGACAACATAATTATTAGTGCTTACCTCCTCTGGCAGGCCCCTGCTTCCAGCTTGCAGAAAGTCACACGTTCTCGGTTGGGGTGGCCACTGCTAACGCTGTCACCTCAGTCTGAGAAACTCCTTATGGAGGCTGAGTGCTCTCTCTTCAGGCACAGGCTGTGCTCAGTAAACTCTTGGAAGTGTCACTGTTTATCTAAAGTTCCTCAAGTAATTTATAAGGTAGTAAAGCAGTGTTATCAATAAACAGGGTTAAGCTAATATTTTTAGAAGCATTGACTAATTCCACGTCTGGTTCAGACCTTTAGACCCCAACACAGAAAAATCAGTGTCTCCACTTTTATGTAGTCTATTTGATTTTCACAAGAATGTAAGTGCGTATTAGGAGCCCACATACTTGAGCAGATCCGGCTAATAAAGCCTAGTATGGTGGCCCATATCTTCAGCTGAAATAGTTTTCCTTTAATACTTTATCCATGCTCTTTTAGAGCCATTGCCTGAGGCCTTCAGCAAATTGTGTGTACACAAAAGGTGTACAGAGTAGATCTAGATATTTACAAGCAAACCCCAAACAACTGTATTAATCTCACTGAAGTTTCTGCAGACCGTGTGCTTGGTTCCCAATGCTGCATACGAAACTCCAGGGTAAGATATTGCCACATACTTGTTCTGCAGTCCTCTTAGGGCTTTTTCATTTGGTGAGCAGTGCTGAAGGAACAGCATCTGTAGCACCCACTGACTGGCTGAGGATTGAAGACTTCCACTCAGTGCTGGATGTTAGTCTGCCGGGATTGATTGAAGCTTCTGCCACTTCTGTAAAAAGCTGAGGGAAGAGTAGTCAATCTAATTAACACCAAAGGCCTCATGGTTTTTGTAGGGAGTAGCTACAGCCTGTCCAAATGGGGTATGGAAGCTTTCTCTGACACCTTACAGTGAGTAGGTAGAAATACATGAATTAATCTAAGAACAGATTACAGATGTGCTGACGAAGGGTGACTGCATGTTTGCCTCTCTCGTTTTCTCTCTGCCTAATGGGGCAAAGGAAAATAAGAGGATGTTGGTCATTTGTTGGGGATTTCAGTCTCCAGTGCTATTAAAAGATCAACCAGGACACTGCATTAGGAAAAATGTTCACAGCCTGGACAAATGGCTAGCATGCAGCTTCAGGGCGTGTGAATCCACTGCGTAAACAGAAGTAAACCATATACATATAGCCTGGTCAGACACCCAGAGTTTCCTGGGAAAATTGTACTTTGTTATTTTGCTCTAATGCTCCACAACAATCTGAGACGGGTGATTCCAGGCAGCAACCACATTACCGAAGGTACTTGTAACTTCAGAAAATTAAGCTGAGCAGCCTCCACTGAAGCCAGTTGTGTTGTACTGCCTTGAGAAGGCCAAGGCCTAGCTCACTGAGTCAAGTCCTCACAAGGACTGGGAAAGCTGGTTGCAAACCATTATGAATGCTTGTATAAAGAAAGTGTATTTCCCAAGGAAATATAATAGAAACTAATGGCTAATGTGCACATGACCCATTCCTTTGCACAGTTTGGGACAAAGAGGCCATTTTCATCCCAAAGGAGTCGTACTGCAACTCAAAATTACATAGAGGGAACCATGCTACCAGAAAACACACTAACCTTTATTCGACTAGCATTTAATCACTTCACCATAGCAATTTAACCATATGATGGAGAATAAAGTTCTAATCCAATTGCTCACTTCTACTTTTTCCCAGGCACCTTAATAATCTGTTCCTGCTGGAAGCTGAAAAAAATGCAACCATATTTGAAATAATCAAAAGTTTTAGTTTGATAATACTTGGCTAAGATGCAGCTGGCTTGCACCAGTCCAATATAAACCACACAGAGAGCTGTAAATCTACCTGACAGTGCTTTTTTTCCTCAGAGTTAATTGCCTAGTGTGCTTTTACAGGACAGGTACACTGCTATGAAGCTAATTTGAACTTCTAAAAATTATTCTGACATTTGAATACAAGAATTAAAGTCTCAAATATTCACGGAAGGAGGCAATTCTCCCCCTTTACTCCACTCTCATGAGAGCCCACCTGGACTACTGCATCCAGGTCTTTAACCCACGACAGGCCCCCAACATAATAAAGACAAGGACCTGTTGGAGCAAGTCCAGAGGAGGGCCACAAAGATGATGGGAGGGCTGGAGCACCTCCCATATGAGGACAGGCTGAGAGAGCCTTGGGGCTGTTCAGCCTGGAGAAGTCTCTAGGGAGACCTTAGAGCAGCCTTCCAGCACTGAAATGAAAGTGCTACAGGAAAGATGAGGAGGCACTCTTTATCAGGGACTGTAGTGACAGGACAAAGGCTAACGGTTTTAAGATGAAAGAGGGTAGATTTAGATTAGATGTTAGGGGTGAGACATTTGAACAGGTTGTCCAGAGAACCTGTGGATGCCCCATCCCTGGAACTGTTCAAGGCCAGGCTGGATGAGGCTTTGAGCAACCTGGTCTAGTGGAAGGTGTCCCTGTGCACTGCAGGGGGGTTGAACTAGACGATTTTTAAGATCCCTTCCAACCCAAACCATTCGATGATTCTGTGATTTATGTGACAGACTTTCAACTTACTTAGTGTTTTATGCCATTATTGGGTGGTCAGGGATTGTTACTGGTTTTTTTTTTTTTCTTCTAGGATAGACATGTAGCATTTTGGAGTGAAAGTAAGCATTGCTGAGCATGGTTTCTATATGACAGAAGCAGCTAATTCAGATGTAATTGAGAGAGACCTCTTAAGACTTTGTAACAGACTGACCCCTAAGATCAGGTACTCCTATGGAGAAAAATACTTTGTTGAATGTAAGTAGAAAAAGAACTGTATGAAAGTTCAGGGGGGATATTATCAATGTATATAAATACCTGAAGGGAGTCTGCAAAGACAACAGAGCCAGGCTCTTTTCAGTGGTGCCCAGGGACAGAACACAAGGCAATGGCACACACTGAAACACAGGAT